TACCTGTGTGATGCCAAAAGTATTGCTATTTGTCAAGAGTGATACTACATTTGAAGTCAGTCAGAGTTCTTTAAAAATTTTTGCAATTGTCTCTCAAGTACACATTGCGTTTTGAAACAATAAATATTTACTTTCAGATATATCTAATATATTTAGCTACATCGCATAAAGAATATTGATCTTTGGTCGTATCTGAGATTTAATGAATATAAAACATCTCTGCCTTCTTAAATCGACAAAGGATCATATAAATTTGTAAATTTAACATGGGAGTTTTTAATACATGTATACGAAAAACGAACATAGAATTACTAATATCTACTAAATTGAACAACTCTGACAGACTTGAAATATTGTACATAAATGCTTATCTAGATTATATATAGTTCATTTAACAAAAACTGTTTTCGAATAAGAATGAACGTATTAGACAGACAATATCTTATGATAAATATATTGACAAATCTGACTTGATCAGATTTGAATGCACAAAACAATGGACATTTTGTATAGTTGTGCTTCTTGTGTGATCTTTTCTTCTTTGCCATAACCACATAGAATAGAAAAAATGTCTTTGTGTATTGGAATGAATGATAGTAAGGACATTAAATGTAAAATGATAATTTTATGAATAAAATCATCTTCCAAAGTATGTACATAACATGAATTATACAGATATTCACTGTTGGATTTACTCAAGTTAAATTTCTATCTGAATCCAATGTATTTAATTAAAATTTCTTCTGAGTTATCTCCCCTAGACCAGTTATAGTGAATATCCTACACAACAACAGTGAATGTCTCAGAGTGCAGATTTAATATTTGATTTTAATGTAGGAATCTGTCTCGCTATTGAATTTTATGTTTTCATATATATGCATTTATTGTACATTACAAATGTGTCTTAAGGTGTCACAGATCTTGAAAAAGATACACTTTTAAAGGAAGAGAATTCTCAAAGTCCCTTGATTTCACAAATACCATGGTATAGTCATGTATATTCACTCATCATTAGAGTTATAAATATTGATACAGCTAAACACATGTATGAAGGGTGATATACTTAAAATAATTTCTCATAATTGTCAAGGTCTTTATACAAAGGAGAAACGGAGAGATGTTTTGAATTATTTGAAGTCATAGAATTTTAATATCTACTGTCTTCAGGACACATATTGTATAGAACAAAACGAATTAAACATTAAAAATCAGTGGAAGTGAGAATGCCTTTTCAATTCATTTACATCCAATCAGAGGTGTGTGGCCATCTTTTTTAATGAAAACTTTGATCTTCAAATTCACAAAGTTAAAAAAGATGAGGGTGAAAACCTTCTTAGATTGGATATTACAATTGAAGAACAAAGAATTACCTTAGTTAATATTTATAGGCCAAATATAGACACTCCTTGCTTTTATCAAAAGGTGGCAGACATTATCGAGGAATTTGATAACCAGTCTTGTATTCTTTGTGGTGATTTTAACCTAATTCAAAATTTCAATATTGACACTCATAATTATGTTAATATCAACAACCCAAAGTCTAGAGAAATATTATTACAGATAATGGAAGACTTTAACCTAGTTGATCCATTTAGCGAATTATACCCCAAATATGAAAAGGTTTACTTGGAGAAAAAAAATCCCTTTAAACAATCTCGTTTAGACTTTTTTTATTTCTGATAATATTTTTCACTTTGTTAGTGATGTTAAAATTGATAATAGTTACAGGTCTGATCATTCACCAGTGATCTTTTCTTTCAAGATTAATGAATTTATAAAAGGCAGAGGCCTTTGGAAGTTTAATAATTCCCTTCTTCATGATACTGACTTTGTTAAAGAGATGAAAAAACTCCTAAGTACAGTAAAAGAACAATATGCCGTCAAGATATATAGAAATGAAAATTTACAAAATATTGACAACTCTGAAATTGAATTTACCATAGATGACCAGTTATTTTTCGAAACATTACTTACAGAAATACGTGGTAAAACTATTTCATATGCATCTTATAAAAAAGATATGTATAGACAAAAGAAGGTTCAGGGACAATATATTAGGTCAAGAAGTCAGTGGAATGAAGGAGAAAAACCTACCAACTTTTTTGAAATCTAGAGACTAGAAATTACATTAATAATTAATAAACACTTTTCAAAAAATAAACACTATTCAAAAACTTACTTTAGAAAATGGGGTTGTAGTGGATGAACAAAAAGAAATCTTAAGTCAGACAGAGGTTTTATGAGAAATTTTATAAAAAACAAGATTGTTTGAAAAGGGTTGATTTAACACAGGCCAGTTTTTATAATGATATACCGAAGCTGAGCGAGGATGAAAAGCAGTTATTGGAGGGAAATATTAGTTTTTTTTCTGAATTAACTGCTGCATTAAAGAGAATGAAAAATAACAAGAGTCCAGGATCTGATAGTTACACTGCAGAATTTTTTTTATTATTTTTGGATTGATATTGGTAAATTTGTTCTTAGATCTGTGATTCTGATTTTGGGATTGTTTTATTTCTTCAATTTTTCCGGTTTAGTTTTATACATATACGGAAAATTCGTGTGTTCCTATTTGAACATGTTAAAGAATTTTTTATAAAACACTCCGATAGCCAGATCTACTCATTCAATGGTTTGCTTTTTTATAGGAAAATGATAAGTTTATATTATAACTCAGTTTTCATTACCTCCCGCGCTCAATGAAGGGGTGGAGATAATAAAAAAATCCTTTCATGTTCGTCGGTCGTTGTCATCGACCATGATTCTGCCCTTAGGAAAAATGTCAAAATTTCTAAACCTACGGCTCAATATACAGGTATAGTGTTTACATTGTGCCTTGGTTCAAGATCATTGCTGAGATTATCCTGGATGTACTGCCAAGAAGACATGTCACCCCTTATAGGACACATTGTTCTTACTGCGAGAAGACATTACTTTGTTCTTACTCTTAAAAATGTCCAATCATGGGGAAAAGGTAGCAAATACAACATTTAAAAACAACGACCTTCCACATTTGAAATGCCGCTAGATCAATAAATTAAATGATGAGTTTGGCATATAGTTAATGGTAAATGAACAAATTCAACTAGCTTTCAGTAACTGCCAGTACTCTCAAATCGTACTTTCGTGTTAATTTGACCTGTTGACACAATTTGTAATGCATTTCTGTATTTCAATGTTTACTTATTTTGTGTTATATCTCGTCTCACTATTTTTAATATGTACCACCTCTGATAAGTATTTAATATGACGATAAATTTTCACTTCTGTACTCGTACTGTGAACAACAAAGATATTAATTTTGTAAAAAATGTCTCCGTACTCCTAACAACAAAATTATTATATTTAAATTTACCTGTGTTTGTTATTTTATTTAACGCCATTTGTCACAGGTTAGAGTGGTCTTTTTGACACTGTTGCTACATCTTTTGTTATTAATATTGTATTTATATTGTGTCATAGATCAAACTTATTCGATCAGTGTATGTTTACTTATATGTCTTTTTGATCGAGTTAAGCCATTTTAATTGATATTTAATAGTGTGTCTTTTTTTTTATGTTGTAGTGTTACACTACTATCTCAGGTTATGGTGAAGGATGGCGCCTTTTAAAACGTTTAAACCCGCTGCATTTGTATGCACTTTTCCTAAGTCAGGAGCCTGATGTTCAGTAGTTGTCGTTTGTTGGTGTGGTTCATAAGTGTTTCTCGTTTTTTATATAGATTAGACCGTTGGTTTTCCTGTTTGAATTGTTTTACACTAGTCATTTTGAGGCCCATTATAGCTTGCTGTTCGGTGTGAGCGATGGCTCTGTGTTGAAGGCCGTTCTTTGACCTATAATTGTGAAGTTTTTATACATTGTGACTTAGATAGAGAGTTGTCTCATTGGCACTCATACAACATCTTCTTATTTGAATTAAACCTTACCTAGAGGTTGTGTTGATTGGTTATTGGTTGTTTGATGTATAACAGCAAACTATATATGCATTACTACGAACAAAGTCTACAATATTGCGATAAAATAGGAATAACCATTCTTTGTTCTAAACTGAACAGTCGATCTCTAAACCAATAAAAATACCCTACACATCAATTACGCCTAATTTTCATATTAAAGGTCCTGTTAACAGCGCATCCGTTATCACAATGATTACGATAACGTGTGTGAATACCACGTTAACATTTTTATAGACATTCAAAAGGAATATGAACTTTTCTTAGTACTAGACCGACACGATGAGAAGGAATGGTGAATTGCTAATTCGCGAGGTAATAGTCAGCAGGTCTGCAGGAAGCAAAGTAACCTTTCCCGGATACATCATTCTGACTCTGGGCCGAACACTAAAATGTCGAGTGCTGAGCGAAGAAGAAGCAAACATTAATTTTCAAGTCTTTTGTTTTGCCTGGTTGGGGATCGGACCGAAGACCTACCGCACTCATGGGAACACGCTTTTTTTCTCTATTTGTTAAATTTAATCAATTATTTACAATAAATAAAAACATCAGACAGTACCTGATGTCACAAATAACAGTTACATGCAGTCAATAAGAAAAAAATCAAAAGTAATTCAACAAAATGTACAATAATAACAGTTATATTGTATATCATTTGCATTGTTCAGAATCAATACGATATTTCTTTATAGTTATATGTTACTTACGAGGCGAACATGCTACCATATCAATGCGATTCTCTTTCGAAGAAAAGTTTGGTGACAATGTTATAGTGTACGTCCGTCATAGTGCTATTCTTGTGATGCGCTAAGGCCGTTCATATTGGTCCAAATTAACTATCTAGATCCGAAATACCGCCAAAATACGTATACTTTGCCTTAATTTATACCTTGACCTCCATCTAATAATAGTCAGAAAGGCAACCAAAGTAGGGTCAACAACACTTGTTGGGGCTCAATTGATTGAGGCTATAAGGCCCATAGTTGACCCAAATTTTAGTACAAATTCAAAGGTTACCATGCGTGATCATAAATTAGCTCTAGCACAACATAGGTAAAAGGTATTCAGAAAACAAATCACATTTACGTATTATATCTCCTTTTCAACATCAAAAAGTCCCAGTAAAGTTTATCTCGCTTAACCATTAGATTGAGATTTGATGGTTTAGCTCGCGTGGTTAAGCCTTCCGGAGCACTCAAATTAAATTTTTGGTTTTTTTGTTGTTGTTTTTATATGAGAGAATTGGTTGTGCTTCTTCAGCTTCAATCAAATAGTTTATGCATCTTTATTATGCATAATGGTTCTCTAGATCATTTAGTAATACGATTTCTTTATTTCAATTAATTTATTGTTCATAATTTTCTTCAACAAGTCCAAGCTGCTGGTCAAGTAAAAAGACATTTTGTTTCTAAAGTAAGATATGGTGTGCAGTTTAACCATAACAATACATTATACAGCGCATCTCTTTGGTTGTTACTGTTTTTGATTTTAAGTCTCACTAACATATTTACATCTACTTTTGTTCATATTATACACAATTCTTCAAATAGATGTCAATATTCTATCGTTTAATCAAAATACAAAAGGATGTAAAAAGTAGAAATGCAAATAACGCAAAGAGAAAGAAAAACTATCCTGTGTTTAATTGTATACCTCTTCAATGCATTGATATTTTCGTTGAAACGTAGCTTAATTTCTTTGATCTTCTTGCAGCACTGGAAGGTCCAGATAGGTTTAATAGATTTGTCCGCATGGTACTCTAAAAGTAAATCAATTACCTTTTGATTTCCGTTTTTAATTGCTTCGAAAATGGGTGTTCGTTTGACGGAATCAAACGAATTAACACAAGCGCCATGTTTTAAGAGAATATTGACAACATCGAAGTTTCCTTTTTTAGATGCAATATGCAACGGAGATCTTTTAAATTTGTCACACATATCTACATCAGCACCAGCATTTAACAATTGTTTTACTATTTCACACTGATTTGATCTGGCTGCAAAATAGAGGGGCGATTTGTTATAATTATCACATATATTTATATCTGCTTTGTGCTCGATAAGAAATGAAACGACCTGTTTGTGTCCATGTTGAGAGGCTGCATGTAAAGGAGACATGTTCGTATCATTACATTTATTTACATCAGCTCCCTTTTTAAATAAGCATTGTACGAATTCTATTTTGCCATTTTCAGACGCTCTTAATAAAGGTGTCGTATTATCACCTTTGCCTTTGTTTACACACGCTCCCTTAGCTAAAAGATATTTCACAGCTTCTATGTGTTCCCAGGTTGTAGCTGTGAAAACTGGTGATGATTTGCCATGGTTTCCAAAATTTATATCCGCATTATTCTCTAACAATAAATCAATCACTTTCCAGTTACATGAATACGCAGCAGCAAGAAGCGGTACTAAAAGTCCATCGTCTGTTTTATTTACGTCGGCCCCTGATTTAATGAGTTCTGATATGCTTGACAAGTCACCACGTAAACAAGCAGACGTCAGTGGCGTTTTACATCTATGCATATTTTTGTTTTTGTTTTTGAAGTCTATCTTATCTCGGAGTAATGTTCCATTTAAGCATTCATGCTTCACATACTTAAGAAGAAGTTGAATCATTACGTGGTTACCACTTGAGCAACCTAATATTAGTAATCTAGTTTGTTCAGTGACATCGTTTCCAAATATAATTTCCGACGATTCTTTATACTGTTCTATTAAAAACTGAAGAAGCTTCGTGTGCCCATACAATATAACCCAACTGATAACTTTGATAGTATAAACAAAGGTATCATCACTTTCAACTCTTTTGTCTACCATCGTATCCTGGCTTCTTGTTGCGAAAGCGTCTGAATATTGGTCTTTATTTATCAATTCTTGGACGATCTTATCGCCCTGACTTACAATATTTTTGCATAAACCAATTTCTTGTTCGAAAAAGAAAAGACTGATTACCTCACTGTCGGGGTTTCCCAGTAGGTACTCCTTAAATACGTTCAGGAACGTTTCATCTTTTAACGACTGATTCATGAAAACGTCGTACAGTTGCATATCTTTCAAATCTGTATAAATCCTATCTACCAGCAACGGGTAATCTTCTTCTTCTATATATATGTAAAGCCAATCTTCAGAATTATCAGATTTTGTAAGTTTAACATTGTTAGCTATATAGCTGCTATCTAGGTATTTCAGAATCTGGTCAGGATATTTTTTGCCATAATGGTACGCTGTCACTTCAAATATACTGTCATGTATAAATATAAAACGCCCTTTTAATTTTAATACATATGTACCTGTAATTTGATCTAATGCTTTAAGAAGTTTGAAATCTGAAAACTCGTTTAAACAATGATCATAAATATCTTTCTTTATATCAGGTTCTGGAAAATCCTCTCTTGAGAGTTTCCCTTTATTAATCATACACATGACCAATGCTGCATAATGATATACATTTTCACGTTCCATTCTGTCAAATTCTTTTAGCAGATATTGATGTGGTCTTGTGAAAAATAGTCCACCAAGCTTTTGATACTTTTTTTCTTTTGAAAATAACATACAAAGCAAAGGAAACATAATGCCTGTAGATTCAAACGACATCGAACTATAAACACCAGCATCGATATTTTCATTCATACAGTACTTTGAGAGAATGGCCGACTTTTCGTCTCCGGTCAATTTATTATCGGCGGTTTCTAAATCGACCACATTTTCGGTAATTATATTATCTGCAGATTTTGCTTCATTAAAAACTGCTTTCCGACATGTCATAATTAGCTTTGATTGTTTACTTAATACTGTAAGAATGGGTTCGCGTATCCTCTCGAAATCATTTTGCAGTGTGGTGTTTACACCAAAGACCCCTAAAACGTCATCAAAAATAAAAAATTGCTTCATATTGATGTCACCATATTTCAAAATCTCCTTGGCCTTGTATACTGGAACAACTTGGTAGCCATTGTTCATGAATTCTAGAGCAATATGACGACTTGTAGCACTTTTGCCAGAGCCAGGACTCCCTATAATCGTCACATGCCTATATCTATCTATTGTGTTCTTGGCATTCTCAGTCGAATTTGTTCCAGAAAATAAACGATCATCTGTGATCCACTTATTTATGAGTGCAACGCGGTTATCTGAAAAAAGTAATGAACTTGACACATGGACTTTTTTAGACATGTGGAAAAATATTCCATGAAAATAATTTTGCTTAAATACCACTGTGCCTATAAATGCGGAACATTTTCAAGAAGTGAAACAGTTGAATTTACTATAAGTCATTCTAGTGAAAGATAAAACCGGTCAAAAAGCAAGCATTACGCCTTAATATGGAGAATTACAGCAAATATACAATGTATGCACTTTGGGAGAAATTATTAAGTCAGGGATTTCGTAACCACAAATTACTTTAAACTTTTTTTTAAAAAACTTTCATAGATACCAAGATTTTGTTTTGAAGTTTGGCTGCACCTGTATAATTGTTATAAAAAACAGGAAATCACATCCTAATTTTTACGGTAATATTGTTTATAAAGCACGTACACTTAAATACGATCCATTCACACTTATTGATCCTTTGAATAAACTTATTCGTAAAAAATATCATTTTAATTTTGTAGTAAGATCTTTGAATATGGTGTTTATCGGTACTATTACATTTGTAGTAACATTGATTTTGTTTTTGATAAATCAAAACATAACTAAATATGTATTTCTTTTCATTCATGAAAACTTATGGTCCTACATCCTGTCTATATTGTGTACTTATATTTTGGCATTGCACAAGGGCATGCTGTTCTCATACTGTTTATGACGTCTTTACACTGAATCCGATGGATGTGTACTGATTGATGCTTATTCTGTTAGAACATGATTTATTTATCAGTTGTTATTTGCCTTGAACTAGCTTTCAGTAACTACAATAACTATTAGATCGGTAGATTTTTGTGTTTAGTGCCGCTTTCTGATGTATCAAGCCATTTCCAACACATTTTTACAGTTTGTTCTTTTTTACATCATTGTCCCAGGTTATGGGAGGGTTGAGCGCTCACTAACATGTTTAACCCCACCACATTGTTTACGTGCCTGTTCCAAATCAGGAGCGTTTAATAAAGTGGTTGTCGTTGGTTGCTATTTGGTATATCTGTTTTTAGATTATTGTTTTGTCATAAATCAGGCAGTTGGTTTTTTAGTTTACATTGTTTCACACTTTGTCATGTCGGGACCTTTTATGGCTGTTCATACGGTATAGGTTTTGCTCATTGTTGAAAGCCGTATGGTGACCTATAATTGCTTAAAGCCACGTTATTTGAACTCTGTTGGATAGTTGTCTCATTTGAAATCATAACACATCTCCTTATTTGATATAAAATGAAATATTTTAAAAGATTAAATGATCAGATAATGTATAAAGTAAAATAAAAAAAATACCGAACTCCGAGGAAAATTCAAAAATGAAAGTCCCCAATCAAATGACAAAATCAAAAGCTCAAACACATCAAACGAATGGATAACAACTGTCTATATATGATAATGAGGATACTGGATTGTTGTTTAACGTCTAGTGGCAAATATTACATGCATATCAAAAGAAGAAAATGTTAATGTGATGTAAACATGAACACTACTGTGTAACAGACCGACTGTCTGAGTCGGATTTTTAACGTATTAATTAACAAGGTAACATTTCGCAGGAAGACATGTCACCGTACGTATGTGTATATGGACACAATATTTTGACTTCGAGCCGACTAATCTTTGCTCCGAAGAAGCAGATAATTCTAATTGTCAAATCTTTGGTTGAATATAGGAACGACTTCCATTCCATTTGTACAATAAGATTTTCCAGTTTAATGAGAAAACAACAAAATATAATCATAAAAAAAACCCGCATATGTCTAGAGTAATACAAATTTTTGGCAAATACAAGAACAAAATCGTAGTCAAATCATGAAAAAAAACCTGTCAGATTATACATATTATTGAATTAACACTACGAATTTGAAATTTTCAAGTTGATATATCTTTCATTAGAATTATACAGCAATGTGTTATTATGGTAATAAAGAGGGGAGGAAAATAATCTGAGAGCTTTATTTAAATGTCTCATTGGACTGTAAATTTTAGTCTTGATTTATACATTTGTCGAGATACCTAAGAAAAAAATTAATTGTCTGTTCTGTTCCGTTGAATTTGGGTTTTTAAAAGTTTCAAATCGTTTTACGTTCTGCCTCCCATTCGTACCTGAGGAGGGTTAATCCAGGCGCACCTATTATGCGTTTTGAAATTAGTATCCTACATTTGATGTTACAATCTCACTGCAAATATGCTTTTGTTGTAATGCATCAGTAGTACTAGTTATATAACACGTTACCTCCTAACGTAATGTCGACTGAAATAATTCTGATGTTTCACATATCAGTAAAAGTATTCACCTTGTTCTTTAGTAGTTATTCCATATCGTGCATTTTCTAATTCCCTTCGAAGATCTCTAACAAGTACTTCATCTATAAAATGAAATATTTTTTTTGTCAAAATGCGTTTCATTTCGGATGAGTAACTTTTGGCAGAAATTACGGTACTTTAACGTAGAAAAATTCCAGATAGTTTTACTTCTCCTGACTATGTTACATGTATGCCTGTAGGTCTGAAGTAATGTTTGGTGCATTGATTATTAGGGGATAACAAGCACCGCCAAAAGTAGACCACATTAAAGCAGTTCATATCAAACCAACATATTTGTATGTATTTTTGTGTATTATGATGACTAAAAGATCTAGATAGCATTTCGTTCCAATTGACAGAATTTCGGCAAAAAAGCGGCTTGGACTTTGTACTTGTCCAGACTGTTTGTAATACCGGCAGATCTGGTGATGAGTTTTAGTACATTGGTGTTTAATGGTGATTTATAGAACGAGTTGGCATTTCTTTACGCTTGACTTCTTCTCACGATACGGCTGCAGGCGGGGGCATTCGTGTCGTACCAACACATATATGTTTATATAATATATTCCCATTGTGTTATTGTCCAGATCTCATTAATAGATTAACTTCCAGTGGATTAATAAACGCGTTGAAGGAGATGATGTTAAAAATACTTATAAGTTTTTTAATTATGTTTTGTTATGATTTTGTTTTTGAATTGTCTATCAATTTAATTTTTAAAAAATCACGTCAAATGTAAAATAAGACTTATGTTACTATATATAGATAGGGACAGGTGTAAGTTTGAATTGTGAAATCGTCTTTCTCCTTAAATCTGTAACAACCCCCACCCCCTCCTTTTCTACTTTTCCCCAAAAGAAAAAAAGGGAGATAATTTTTCATATGTTTTTTCCTTTTTTTAACACTAATAAAAAACTCACAATAAAACAGATAATGTTGTTTTTTTTGGTGTTTTTTTTAAGAGTTTTCTGCAACGGACTTACATTTCAGAGCATTACAGTTTCGAAATATGTGGTCGCTCAGGGTCGGATCAAAGCCCTTGGAAAGACACACATCAAACGTAAAATCAAGTACTGGACCAGCAACTCTGTTAAATATCTGTAAGATATGTATGCCACAAACATTTATTACATGCAAGGTAAGACTTGGGGGTTTTTCGTCTTCAAAATATAACCAAAAGGTCTTGTTCATGTAACATTATGTTACATTCAAACCCTTTCTTTCTAAACTTATATGTTGTAACAATTTTCCTTTGATATGGTTTCAGCGTGCATCATCCTGACAAGTAACCAGACAAATATATCAGAGCTTTGAATTATTTTTTTTTATTCTCAGGTGCTCCAGAAGGGTGGATCTTGCTCCACATGTGACACTTGTCTTGTTGTTCATGCACAGTAAAATTCGGGGATAAGTCTGATTCGGTGATGTCACAATCGAGGAAAAGAAGACGGGATTGTGGTAACGGTTATTGAAACATATCGGTGGTCATCTGTGACACAGATATTCCACAAAGGTCAACCAATTCGTGAAGGCTTTCGTAAACCTGTCGAGAGATGACTTCCACTTTACAACTTGATACCCTTGGTTCAATAGCTTTCCTGTAAGCAGCAACCCTCTATCAAGTATCGCCGCGATGTAGCGTTTTTGTGCTGAGGCGGCGTAAAGCAAACACCAATCAATCAATCTATCAAGGAAATTATGATAGGAAACGCAAGCTCTGGAATATCTTTTCAACTGGGAGATATATACTCCATATACAATAGCTGCTGGAATGTTGCTACATAGATAGGGAAAGTTCACAATTGGGAAGCTGAAATTTTTTGTCGCAAAGTTCTGTTCTCAAACGACCATCATTGCCAATTTCCAGATGTTAATCAAAAATTGAGACATACTTAATTATAACCTTATTTCAAGGTCAATTGGATAGATGCGTTCAACATAATCAGCAAAATTTTGAATTATTTAGTATCAGAACATCATCTATATGGCGGAACGTGAAGTAAAAGGATAATGCTAGCTTCTTTTCATTCTTCCTATTAAGAAGCTCCTGTATGACGTCTGGCAAACAAGTCGACAAGAAGAGCAGCACAGTTGGTTCCCATAGGAGTGTCGATTGTTTGTTGAAAAACAAGCGTACTCCAAACGTCACAAATATGATGTAAATGAAAAAATCTAACATCTTGATGATGTCAATTTTAGAAATGTCTTGTTTGAATCAGAGTGGTATTTTACAATGTATGATTTATCCCTTCCTATAACAAGATATTTGTATGTTGGCCATTCATTATTATGAATCAAATTTGGACTAATTCTTTCAATTTGTCTTTAAGTTTAGAATGAGGAAAAGGTGTAAAGGGTAGAAAAGTCAAATTATTTGATACTTTTGCCAGAGGATATATACTTCGATTTCATGTACTCTAACAGATCTTGGGATTTTGTTAGTATCCACATCTGATTCATACCGCCCTTAGAGTTGGTAGTTTCACACGAACTCTGAGGCCCGGTTTTTATTGTTGCTAAAATTGATTTGAATAGTTTGGAAAGAAGTTTCGTGGAGCACTTGTCAAACCCAGCAATATAGCGTTGTTTGAAAGGACACTAATGTAATTTAGGTATCCCGTACAGTGAAGGAAGATCCAGCTCTTCATCTTTGGTTGAAATTCTAAAGGTACAAAGAACATCCATATGATTGTTGAGGATTTCCTGTTGTGTTATATGTAGTGTCGTTGGAGTATATGTTGAGGTTCCAAATTATTTGTCAATACCTAATTCCTTTATCAAACAGTTTATGTTGTATGATTTACGAACAAATAGGATATTGTTCCAGGCTTTATCTGCGGGAACAACAACATATTGGTCATGGAGGTTAGACAGATGTTTAGCACTATTTTGGTTTTCAATATATATATAGGATGCAGCATGAGTGGTAATAGACCAAAACTTTTTTAATTCTAATTTGTATTAACGAACTCACACTCTTAACCCATTCGGAAAGAGTATGTATAATTTGAGTCAAGAGTCAAAAGAGTAAACTATGTAATAAGTAAGACGAGTGATATTAATTTTTATACTTACAGTTTTTATTTCATTCGTCATTTCATCAAATTTCTGATTATTTATTGTATCCTCCTTTATAATTACATCTGCATATGATTGTATTCGGTATAAATCTGCTTGTAAACTGCAGTTGGATACTAATGGCTGACACATTGGAATTTGTATTTGCTCATATACTGTACACAGAGAAATTATTGCAAATAAACCGATGTTTTCACTAAATGAAGTCGTGATCAAACCTACAAGAACAATCATCGTCATCATCACTATGAGTCTACTTTATATTATTTGAGAAATAAAAATTTGGTTTTGCTGCCATATGTTATGACTTTGTATCAGCCATGTAAACGTTAAGAAGAAAACAAAAACGGGCACACCATTAGAATCAACCAGAAAATAGACAGGCGTAGATTTGAAGCAATCAATATATTTGAATTAACTTATGCTAAAAGGTTATCAATTTAACACTGTAATCAGATCTTTGAATGTTGTTTTTATCGGTACAAACATTGATTTTGATATCAATAAATTACAGCATAACTAAATAATATTGCTATACGGCTATGAACATTTACGGTCCTACGTTCTGTCGGTACTTATACTTCGGCATTGCACAATATCATGTTTTCTCTGGCTGTTTATGACGTCTTTACACTAAATCCATTGAATGTGTACTGATGGATATTTTAGTCTTAGATACAGGATTTTTTGTATTAGTTGTTATCGGCTTTCTGTAACTGCGAGTATTTTTAGATCACAGTTTGAGTCAAGTCTTTTTGTTAGTTTTTTGTTTGCGTTGGTCACCCGCAAACATGTTTAACCCCGCCACATTATGTAAGTATGTGCCTGTCCAAAGTCAGGAATCTGTAATTCGGTGGTTGTCGTTTGTTGCTGTATACCATATTTGTTTTTCGTTTATTGTTTTGTACATGAATTGTTTTCCATTTCTCATGTCAGGGCCTTTTATAGCTTGCTGTGGTATGGGTTTTGCTCATTGTTGAAGGCCGTTAGGTGACCTATAGTTGCCATCTTCTACGTCATTTGGTCTCAGTTGGAGAGTTGTCTCAATGGCAATCATTACACATCTTCTTATTTTTATATGACTTTATTTATAATTAAACAAACTAATTCAGTAACATACTTGCTAAAGTGGGGCGTTTGTTTGGCAGTGCGGGATGTATATATACACAGTCACATCCAGTCGGAATAGGGAATGGGGACGTTTAATCTAATGCCTCGTGCCACAACCTCTGCACGTTAACGAATCCTTGTAATAACCCCTTGGGGTTCATAGGCGGCCTGTTGCAAGGCAAAATGTCTGTCACTATCCATCATTTTACAGTGGCCGTCCAAATTTCCCGTCTTTTATCCTGGTCGACCGCTACCTTACAGAACCTTTTAGTCGTGGCCAATATATCGTCTGTCATCGTTTATGAAATTACCGAAAGTACATACATATATACAGACAGACAGACAGACAGACAGACAGACAGACAGACAGACAGACAGACAGACAGACAGACAGACAGACAGACAAATAGACGGACAGCCTATATTATTGTCGCTATGGTCATGTTAGTTTAATAATAATTAAACTAAATCAATATTTCTCCCATGATACGTTCGTAAAAAAAAACTATTAAGATAAGCTTTCACGCTTCCTTGGTCTAAACGCATATATATATATATATATTATCGGCATTTGAATGCAGTCTTCAAACTAGTTTAACCCTCTTCCACATTCTGTATGTGTCTGTCCAAAGTCAGGAGCCTGTAATTCAGTGGTTGTCGTTTGTTGCTATATATCATATTTCATTTTTGTTTTTCATTCATTCTTTTGTACATATATCAGACCGTTAGTTTTACTCGTTTGAATTGTTTTAAATTTGTCATTTCGGGGCCTTGTATAGCTGACTATGCGGTATTGGTTTTACGCCTGTTGAAGGCCGTACGGTGACCTATAGTTGTTAATTTCTGTGTCATTTGGTCTCTTGTGGAGAGTTGTCTCATCGGCAAGCATACCACATATTCTTTTTTTTTTATATTAGAATATAACGAACCTGTATGTTCTTGTAGCAGATCATTGCTTGACACCTCTGTTTCTTCCATGTTGTACGCTAAACGTCTATTGACATTGTCCTCTTTAAGAGCGACAAGGAATTCGTTGTATCCCTTTAAGGTTTTAATTTTGGATATCAATCTTCTATTGTTTTCTGCTTGTGTTGACAATGCATTGATTTCTTGATGATCCTCAAGACTGAAGACTCCAGTTTGCACTAAATGATCTGTAATACTTGCTGTAGATGACATTTCCTCAACCAACATACGATAATTTTTTTGTAACTTAACCATGATAACATCAAGGTTACCTGTAGATAAATCTGAAGTACATATATTATGAGTGCCAAGAAATAGAAAATTACATCACTAGATTTTGTTTTCTACTCCTAGTTTAGCAAACTATTCGAATAATTTGATGACATTTGGTTTTAAATCATGTTCTTTCGAAAATTTGTATTTAGTCGTATAATGCATAATTAAAGATTGATATGCGTTCATCACCGAACCTTTTAACATATCTTTAACACAGAAAACTCAAAGAAAATGTAATTAGAAAGACAATGTACGATCCGTTTTCAGCCTTACTACTCCGTATGTGATTGTGTAGTCAGTACTTGCAGATTTTGTAAAAAATTCATATGGTTTACTTTCTTTATGACAAGTAAAACTAAGCGGGTTCCCAAAGAATTGTCTTGTATTTCAATTAGGCACTTGAATAGAAACAACTGAACACGCAAATTATTATTTATCAGGATTCGTTGGTTTGTGTTTTAAGAGCCTCTGCTGTCAGAATTTATAAATTCGATTCAAGGAGATTTTTATCGTAACTTCAGCACTACAGATCAGTATTAACTGAATGACATAACGATACGAATATTGATAAAGTGACAAAATGAAATCATTTCGACATCTGTCAACTTTTGTATATATTTAGACCTGATTCTTTAAAGGGAATTAGGTCTTTTCTCCTTTGTTTTTTTTTATGGTTTTATGGTTTTATCCTTGATTCATTGCATGTGTTGTTGCTGTCCAGTGTCGATTTTAAGTTGTGAATTTCTCAATAGTTCTACACAAGCACCACTGTATGAGTCTTTAGATTGTAGAAAATATTTAACAAACAAAATAAAGACTAGTGAATGATATCTTTAAGAAATTAAAATTTCCTAGCTCTAATTTACCAAATACATGAGACTCAGTACTATCTGATTAATGAAACATTGATTCCGAAAATTTGCCAACTTTGCATGACAATATAACACATTTTATAATTTACAGTGACATTTTTGGTAATAGGAGAGATGGGATTTACAAAATTACAGTTTTCTTTAATTCTGGTGTACTTACAAATCTCGACAATAACCTTTCAAGCCGATGAGAAAATTTCAATGGAAAATACATACATCAACATGGTCAAATGTAACCGTAGTATGCCATATATACCATCAGTATACCATAAATTCAGTGCCATGGACAGGTGCGCTGTTGAACGGAAGTAGTTACATTCCATCGAGCATCAAAACCAGGCATAATCAGAACACTTAAAATCGCATATGATCAATTTTGCTTGAGGGACTATAGCTACATGACGAATGGTACCCTTGGTAGGTTCATTCCATCAACAGCGATATTAATCAAAACGTGTTATATTGTATGCATGATAGGTGTTTCTTGAAGAACCTTCATTGAATTTAGATCCGAGAAAAATGTTTTGGAGGTAATTTGAAAACATGAAAACAAACAGGGCCGGAGGGACTAAACTTTATACATGTATATATTGAAAATTATGTCTTACTAAAAGTACGCTATAATCGAATTATGTAGATATTCTGTGGTGTTTGGCATCCAGATATTTTTGCCTGACTTTTTTAAGCACAAAAAACTAGTGTTTTCCATTGATGCATGTGTTATATTTCTTTTAATATGTACTCTTTTAAATAGAAATTACTTATGGTCTGAAGTTCTACTCGTTCATCTGATTTCTTTGTCTGTCTGATGGTCTTGATAAGATCTGTATTATCATGCCTATCAGCGTCTAGAGCGTCTAGGAATACATCTTTACTATCTCTATAGTTGAGAAGTTTATCTAGAATCATTTTGTTTTTATCTTTCTGGTTCGAACACTTTTGTACATCTTCCCGGAAGTCCGTTTGCAGCACACACTGAGAAATCAAGTAATCTAAAACTGACTGGTCTAGTATCGCACTCCTCGAGATTATGTCGTAGTGATGAAATAATGGATGTTCGTGTAGTTCTATGAGATACATGTAAACTTATTAGATAAATTGCATACAGCACGCAAAATTATTATCGCTTTTTCCACAATCAGTAGTCCTTTTCATGAGACATAAGTAATAACAATATTATTTTCAATCGATACCTAAGGACATACGGCTTTTGGTTGGGTTAGTATTGCATAGTCTTTTTTTGTCTATGCTGTGTTTTTTAGACTACTGCTTGTCTTTTCGTCGTTTTCCATTTTTTTGCCATGGTATTGTAGGTTTTTCTTCGACTTATGATTTGTTATTGTCCGTTTGGTATTTTCTGTGTCTTTTTTTTTTCTATTCTACGGCGGACATAAACAATTTTCTTTGAAAACATGTATTTAATTTTACTTTGAGAAATTAAAGAAAATGATAGAAGAGAAAAAATATTATGTTAGTCATTTGACGTTTATATGAAATTAAACTGAAATTTGAATCGATCTATATTTAAAATTTGAATCGTTAATTATTGACTTATATATCGTTTTGATATGATCGAATAAACTTACGCATGTTTTGTTGAACACGTCTCCATTCTTCTGTTGATAACTTCTCACTGAACATAGCCTCATTTTCACTTATAATAGCTTTTAAGGTGGTTTTATACTTTCTTTCTAAATATTTTTCGATTACACGTGGACCTAAATATAGCAACATGTATGCCGCCCGTTCATGATTCGTTCGATTCCAACTGCTTGAAGCCATGTTCTAAAAGCAAACCAAGTATCACAAACAGTTAAATTGATTCGGAAACATATGTTGAACTACTATCTCAGAATGGTACTTACCTACAGTGAGTGATAACATTAAAGATACCAATTCAACATTCAACACCAGATACGCATTTCGACAATCAATTTCTTTTCATTTATGCTCGAGGCCAACATATTTCAAAATCCGTAAGAAACCCTATGAGTCTAGAAATATTCTAGCCAAATGCCTAGTACATTTTATATATCTATACAATGTCTATAAGATTTTTTCTACAAAGTCTTTCCTTTATTTTCAGGAAAAGTTGCACATTTGTCATACAACACATTGCACTGGTGACATTATACAATTATGGCTCGTAGAAAAGTGAAATATCCAAAATTGGCAACCATAAAAGGTTTTTTCCCCGAAGGCGCAGCCCAAAGTAAAATAACCTTTTAGGGTTGACAATTTTGGATATTCAACGCTTCTAAGGGGCCACAATTGTTTTATTATGCCAAACTAACAGTAAATTTTATTTTGAATCATTGAAGATACCTGTTAAAAAAGCATTTGTTAAATGTAGTTACAGATTGTCAAACCACTTACGTCACAGAATTATTTTGTGTCTCAGCATTTTTCGTATGTACAACAAAGGTAGACTCTTTCTGTAAAATATTGATGGCTATGAAAAGGGACGTTTGTGAGGGCTTACCTTTTACAGTCCAGGCGATTATGTATTCGTGTAATATTACGCGTCTCTGTTAATATTACTTAAACATGTAATTTTACTTTTATCACAGATACCTGTATAATAGTTGAGTAGAAATCGTTATCTCCCTTTAATCATAGATTGCTTCGACAAAAGGAAAACAAACAAAAACAAAACAGGTATAATATGAAAAACCAATTGTTTAGAGAACAATTGAAGGTCTTTCCACATCAATTTCTAAATGATTAATAAGAAGCTACTTCCGGTTTACTCGAGGTAACTATTGGCGTCCAATCACAGATTTCTTCACGATCATTCAATTAATATATGGTTTCTATACTTTTGTCTGAAATAAGGAAGATAATTTGCTACATCCGGTTTAGAAAATGTCACTTCCGGTCTCATATGATTCCAAAAATACATTGTTTCTATATACTTTTGTCTATAATGGAGATAATAAGCCACTATCAGTTTATTGTAGGTCGATTCCGGGTCACTTTCGGTTGACATTTTTTTAAGGTGAAAGGTCACTTAACATTGTAAAAGACCCTATGGTTTATCGTGTACAAAGCTGAAGTAATAATCAATTAACATTAAATTAATACATTTCAGGGGTAATAACTCTTATTAAATGTCAATGGATTGTTTCAGACTAAATGTTTCATTTTATCATCATAATAAGGCAAACATTTTGCACTTGTTCTTGTTTCAAATATCTTCAATAGTGTCAAAGAAGATCATAAAAGAAGAAAAAATCAAAATTGAGAACATGACCTTAACCTTTGACCTTAACCTCATATTCATTTCTGTGGTTCATTTCATTATATGAATGACTTAATACCTATTCGAGTGTTGCTAAAAGACGGAAACTAAAAAACGGAATACGGAACGGAAACGGAGAACAGAAACAAAAAGAATTTTCATCTTTTCTTTTTGGTTATTTTTGTTCGTAGGTATGTTGTATATCACATGTTTACAAGAAAGAAAAACAGAGGAATACATTTAAGAAAACTTTGAAAGCATTTAAGAATTGAATGCTTCTTTTTGTAAATTTATTGGGGTGTAAAACCGTTGACCGAAGTACATTTTATATGAAGGGTTCAAGCGCGGAAGCGCTTCATTCTAAAATTTGCGCACGGTCAATACTTTTGCAACCCTATAAAATAACTAAAAGAAATATTCCATACTTATAAATACATTATTTTTGCTAGATCATGAAAACACGATTTCTATCAAGTTTTTCTTTTATATGCCTGTGCACTTCATTTGGGGAAGCTCGTGTCATCATGAATGTTACATTTCATTTTGAAATGAAGGTTAATTTCAGAATGACGCGAGATTGCTGTTAGCCAATCAAAATTACGTATCATAATGAAAAATACATGCAATGTAATCATAAAGTATTGAAATAAATGACAGAAGATGATGAGCCTAGTTATTTAATAAGGGCATGCATATTGTACGTAATGTAATTGTGTTAACACTGGCAATTGTTTCATTAAATAGTTCATTTTATATTCTACTTTAATTTGCACTTAAGACCATGAACATATGTCGTTCATGCGATTCAGTAGTTCGTATGACTTTTCTGATTTTCCAAAAGAAAAAAAAAATAAAGAAATGAAAAAGATATATGTGGGATTAACATCAATAAGATTGTAATACAACAACACAAAGTTAATCTACATACGGCCTAAAACGATAGACATTCGCCTCGAGCTCGATTCTAGATAGGTTGGGGAGTCATTCATTTTTTGGGGTAATGCTTTTCAATTTTTTTTCTTTGTTTCTTGTTTAATTGCTTTGAATTATGGTTAGTGGTGTGGTGTATCTTGTTGTGTTGAATTCTGCAATGGTGATTTTCCTGCTATCTTTTCGCGTATCATGGAAAGAAGGCGTACGAGAAACTCGATGGGACAATCAAGTATGGACAACACCAGATATGGGAACCTGTGAACTGGACATAGAAATTTGGATACATTTTATTGTTATCTAACACAGTTTTGTCTTGACAAAATCACTCATTTTACAAAGCCTTTCTCACCCGATAGTGAAGTACATTGTTGGTATTAACGTCGGGAAATAATTACCATATGCTCTCCTAGAGTCAAGACTGTAATATCAATAAATACGTATTGGTGTAAAAAAAAACTGGCGGGAAAACAGTACATTGATATACGATTGCACAGTGCCCTTTTCAAGCTAGCCATAGTTATGTCCTAAGGTTTCTGAAATCAACCTGTCCACAGTGTTTTGAATATCATGCCGCTTAATTCTTCTCTGAAAATTCAGTCCCATTCAAGTAGCTATGAAGTTTTAACATTATTTCATAATATTACAATTCTTCGCCGTTTCAGAATCTAAAGCATTCTGGGTAATTTTTTCAAAAGCGTACACCAAAACGTTGTAATTAGTTTAAAACGTTCTAAACAATTGAAATTCAACCAATGACGTAATATTATTTTCATTTTGGTGTACGAACAATGAGATTACCCATAGTCCTTTAGATTCTGAGAAGGCGAATTTAAAATCATTGGTGTACCTTATGTTGAGGCCTCGGTACAAAAAATATAATCAAAAACTCTTCTTTATAATCTTTTAAACAATTTTCACAAAATGCAGCAGACTCGCTACTAAACGCTAACATACTGACGTCTTTTAATATTGTCTTGACTGCTCCCGTTATTGATTCAAAAGACATACCCTTTGCGAGTTCAAGACTTATGGAAACATTTCCTTCATCTAATTGGAAATCCCGATCCCTTTTCGGTAGTTGTCACTAACTTTTAAATACGTTGGTGTCAAAGAAATCGACACTATTGAAGCTGACAAATTCATATAATGCTATCCCAATCAAAATCAGTAGGATAGATGATGATCCAACTCACGAGCCTTTCCCGATTAAATTACTTGACCATTCAGGTAAATCGTTAATTTTGTGTGAGAATGATTTCTAGTATATGAGTGTCTGGGTGAGGTTTACAGAATACAGAAAAATGCCCTGAAATTAATTTAAACTTAAAAGAATAGAGATTATAAATGGTGCTAAATATAAAAGAAAGGAAAATCAAATTATCATAATGGACAAAAAGAATAAAAAATAAATATTTGAAGACCCCCATTTAAACCCTCATATATAACCGGTAACGTCTAAAATTGAAATATCGTTGTGTGTTGACATTTTCCCTACGTGTAGTACTTCTATTAGTACACAGAGTTTCATTTACTTTGATACCAATTATAATATAAATATACTAATATTAACCAACATGCACAGACAATAACTTGTATGTTGTTCTCAAGTTTTATTCTCACTTTTTTAAATCTATATTGTTCCACTAGCAGAGAATTTCAAATAATTAAAGGAGTACCAGCGACGACATGAATAGTTCATATGTCTGTTAGTTTATACATAAATTATGTCAGTTTGTATATAAAAATGTCCACAAATACTGTTTTTATTTATTAAGAAGACTTCAGAAAAACTTAAGGTTCATCATAACAAACGGACAAATATGGCTGTATTTACACGTCAAAAACTACTCTGAGTACAGACTTACCTGTCCAGTTGGAAAAGTTTTAGGGCCTGGCATCCACTAGGTATATAAAAGTTAAATGCATTTTGTGTTTCAGAAAGATATAATCTTTTTTGGTTTTTGATGGGCATTTTTTTTCCTTTCTGCAGAAGGTGTAAAAATAAACAAACACCTGAATTACTTTGATACTGTCCACTCAGTTAAACCCTTTAACTCACCTATAGTTGTGTAGATACCTGCTGTTCATGTCAATCAAGGACAATCAATACAAGTCAATATAGTTTTTACCTGAGAGAGAGCATCTCAAAGTTGTATCACAACTTAGTTAATTTTTACACATTCTGCATGAAGGAAAACAATGCCCATCAAAATACATAAGAGATTTTATCATTCTGAAACACAAAATGTATTTAACTTTTATATATCTAGTGGATGCCAGTCATTAAAACTTTTCCAACTGGACAGGTAAGTCTGTACTAAGAGTAGTTTTTGGCATGTAAATACAGCCATATTTGTCCGTTTGTTATGATGAACCTTAAATGTTTCCGTTAGTACGTCATCGGTTGTCACTTTCAAAATGGGAAAAAGTTAAAAACCATGTAAGAATTTGAAGACCTTCCAAGATATATCAGGACAAAATACAACCAATAACATTGCTTTGGTGCTTTTTACATGTAGCGTATGTTTATTTCCTAGTTAACCAAGAACCCCAGACCCCTGCCTCGGTAATAATAGAAGGCAAGCTAAGCCACTGAAATATATTGTCACTCATTCAGCATAATGTTTTAAGCATTAATATAATTAAAATCATTACCATATACATGTATTTATATTCAATCATGCTAAAGGAATGTTGAAATTTGAAAGTTAGTCTTATTTATATTTTATAGATTTTAAAGCAGACGAGTGTTCAGCCAAGATAACTGAAAAAAACATTATTTTCGGTTCTTTTCAGGACAAAACACGACCAATAAAAGTGCTGTGGTGCTTTTTATATGTAGCGTGTGTTTATTTCCTAGTTAATCAAGAACCCCAGACCCCTGCCTCGGTAATAACAGAAGGCAAGCTAAGTCACTGAAATAAATTGTCACTCATTCAGCATAATGTTTTAATCATTACTATAATTAAAAACATTACCATATACATGTATTTTGAAGTTACTCTTATTTATATTTTGTAGATTTTAAAGCAGTGTTCTGCAAAGATAATTGATAAAAATCATTATTCTCGGTTCTTTTTTTATTTTTTGATGACGATAACGATCCTTTATTTTACACTTCGCATCTGATCGTTTTGTGTGTTTCTACTGGCTAGACAACCGATTATCCAAGATATCATTGATATGTAGACTAAATAACACAGGACTCATGAGAGTGCCTTGAGGTACTCCAGAATCAACGGTGGACCAGTTGATTTTGTCGAATTTAGCATGACTCTGTGCTTGCGGTAGCATAGGAATGAGTTAATCCAACATAGTGTTTTACTTGATATCCACTAACTGTTTAATTTTGATTTCAGTAGTTCATGTGGAGCTGTGTCGAATGCTTTTTCGAAATCTTATATAAATATATCTGTTTGGTGTCCTTCATCGATGTTTTTGGTATAATCTCTCTATCGTCTTTAGTTTTATCCCAAAACACAAAAGAGGGTAAAAAAACATAACTTATGGGCAATTACTTCTTTAACGAGTAAGCAGAGCAAACAGAAAATGGTCAGCAATGAAACATCAACAAAAAAGAGAATGTTTTCATAAATCTTTTCAAGTCTATATACAAAGATGAACGACACATGCTCTTTAGAGCCTCAGTTTCTTTCTAGCTGTTATGTATTTCCAAAACTGTTTCCTATTTTCCTTGATATCGCCTATCCTATTTCAACCTACTTGTTGTGTGATGTTTTTTTTATTTCAGTCGATATTGATTTTTTTTAGTTCTCGCCATTTTTTTCCCTCAAATTCCGTCCATATAGATAAATATTTCTTTCCGTTTCCGTTCCGTTCCCTATTCCGTTCCGGTTTTTTTTCGTTTCCGCCGTTTAGCAACACCCTACCTATTCTCCGAATATTAATGTTTCACATGGTTCTTAAAATTATTCTGTAGTAGCTTAATCAGAAATTAGGCGAAAATTGGAATATTTATATAAATTTGGAAATGGGTTTATCATTAAAAACACCTTATAATGGCTTTTACGCTCAAGGTTCCGTGGCTGAGAAGTTATTTTCAATAAGCACTGATACTGACAAAGTGTTCAGAATATGTGGTACCGACACTTGTGCACGCTTGAATTTATATTAATTCTGGTAATCTATAAAATTCTTGAGATCTGTTAAATGTTTTTTATTTATTTATTTAACGGTTTATCGGCAATTTTTACATGTTCCCTTTGGTCTTATTTAAGGAATGATTGTAATATTTTTTTTCTGTCTATGAAGAAATAACATCAAAAATGTGGTGCACACTGAATAACCCGCGTAGCGGTTTATTTTAAAGTGTTCACCACATTTTTGATGTTATTTCGAATAGACAGAAAAAATATTACAGTCATTCCTTATAATTTAATTCTAAATTTCATTTTAAGCTGGAGTAAATCATGAAAAACGTTAATGACGTCACGGTCACATGACAAAATTATGTCTATGTTTGTTTTTTGTTTTTTGTTTTTTTTGGCGTTTTAACGCCACTTCTAAGCACCGCTTTTGGGCAATTACGTGGCGGCCAGTTTTTATTGGTGGAGGAAGCCGGAGTGCCCGGAGAAAACCACCGACCTTCGATAGGAAAACTGACAATCCTAGTCAATTAAGATTGGAGTCGAGTGCACCCGCACGAGCGGGGTTCGAACTCACAACCTCAGTGTTGACTGGCTAGTGATTACAGTAGTAACTACTTAGACCACTCGGCCACCGAGGCCCCAATTATGTCTATGAGCTGATAGACAAAACACTGTCAGCCAATCAGAAGACGCGTTACATCCAAAATTAAATTATTGCCTAATATTTTTAAGATCATGGACAGGGGACTTGATACTCGAAAAGATTAGGCAATGACGTCATGTATAGGTGCAGCAATGTCACGTGCTCAAGTCCATCCGCGTCCGTTTATCAATGAAATGCACGCGACATCATTTATACAACCGAACAACTATCCCAACGCTTTGTGAGCGTAAAAGTAGATTTACTAACTATTCCAATCAACTTCATATTCTCAACAAAAAAAATAAAAAAAATACAGTTGATACAAATTTCCGATAAAAAAAATAATGGCATTTTATTTTATTCTTCTGACTTCATCAGCTCAAATATTAGCTCGTCCTAGCGGGCTCGCTTGGAATTTTTGCTGATAAAGTCAGTATCAAAAACAAAAATGCCACTATTCTATATGTCATATGAAAAAAAGAAAACATCTGGAGTTTTAATTCAGCACACCTAGTGAAATGGGTTTCCCTCTTATTGTTGATGTGGTTTCCTCGGTTTTAGTTTGTAGTTTTATTGTTTCCAATGGCATTATATGATTTCTCTTTTTGTCATTGTTATATTAGCTGTTTATAGTTATCAGTTGTTCCGCAATTCAAATGTATTGCACCTTTAGTCATCGTAAGAACGTTAAAATATGGAAATAAAAAGTAGCTTTTTTTAATGATTTTGATACACACATATGTTATTAATTACTTAAAAAAGAAATGGAAATAGTGTCAAATTTCAAACCATTTCCATCTCCAAATATTTCAGATGCAAGTATACAGATATCAGTATGCTAGAAAGTAAATTGAATGGTTATAGTTACCTTCCAGCCAGCTTATGATCATCAAAGTGAATTAACATGTCGACAAACCTGTTACGGAAATCAATACTTTCTTCCTGTAGATAATATATTCTAAATTAAGCGATAGTCAGGAAATATGAAAAAAAATGTTGGCATAGGTTGAATAATACATAAACAGATTATACGCTATAAAAACATAAAGTGAATATAATCAATTGTTTTAAAAACAATTGTAAACGATTTTCCCCGTCAATAATGATTGATTAATTGATTGATTGATTGATTGATTGACAGATTAAAAACATGGGACAGGGACGCTAGAACAAGCGAAAAGGGAATTGAGAGCCTAGATCCCCTGTTTAAACACACTTTATATAAAGTATATATTCAGAGCGAAAGTTGAGGTCTTTATCTAAAAAATATAGGAAAAGGTACTTAGTAAGAAGACATCTAGATAGACAATAATAGTGCATTGACTTGACATATCAACGATATAAGGATGAGGCTTAGAAACGGGGAAATGCGAGGCTCTGCCGAGCTTTTTCCCCGTTTCGGGCCGACTCCTTATATCGTTGATATGTCAAGTCAATGCACTATTATTGTCTTTATACTGCAATCTAAAAAAAAAAACATTTTCAATTGTTGTTTAATGTGTTAATGTTATTATTTGATTTGAATATTTGGAAACTTCCCCCTTTTATAAAAAGGCCTCCTATCATGCAGGCGGAGAAATATACAACACAATGAAATGTACATTACCTGTTGAAACCCGCAATCGATGGTGAACGAATTTGTTTGAGAATGAACTAAAATATCAACAATAAGCATAAAACATAATGATTTATAGTTTGCAAACCAAAAAAATTAACAAGTGAAATATGTTTTTTTTCTAAAAATTGCAAAAGAAATAAGTTTGAGTCGTTGTATACATTGGAAACAAGAACAGGTTGAATAGGTCGTATGAATAATTAATTATAATTTCGGCAATTCTATTTAAATATTCATGAGGAAAAGTGATATCAGGTCAGTGACTGTATATGACATAGAAATATACGGTCAACGCATTTTGACTGCTCAAATAGAACGAGTGCAGTATAAAGTGCAACATACAGTCCGTAACATAAGCCATGTGTCTATGCAATATATTGAGCTCTACATTGCACAGAGTCGAGAAAGTTGTGAAAATATTTAACAGGATCAATCCAGAATATGTCATCATAGACGAGTGACATTAACCATAAAATTTTATTTTTAATGCACCCACCTAACATATGGCTAAATCGTATACCATTCGAAAGCACAACATTTGTACTATCTTTTTTGCCCGGTCGTCAAAAATTCGTATGGTGCAGTTTCCGTCAAATCACAACGAAAGGTCAAGGACAGACAACTTCTAATTTTACAAGATGTCAGCATTTTTGCATATTCTGTCTTCTGAATAATAATATTTTGTATGGACATATGAAAATCTGTTAGAACAGATGTTAATAGTAATTTTGGCAAAAACAGTTTGTAATATTAATGTCGGATTATTAGTAAATAGCGCCGTTTTCCAGAAATTTCATTGAAAATGACAAAAATGCATGCAAACAAAATATTTTGTCTGTGATTCAACTGTTATTCACCATAAAACCAAATAACATACTTAATTTGGTGTTAAGGATGTTTTTGACATAATTAGATTACTGCAATTACGCTTCTTGTTAAGTAAACAGCCAATTATAACAACCATGCAGTTGCCCAAAATACCGCCATCTGCAAAAAGATAGCTTTTTTAGCTGTTCTTTGTTAAAACAATTTGTATGTAGTCGATATTAGGTTGAAAAACACAAATCTTAAAAGTGCAAAAATGTTAAAGGACAGAATACACAGGTCATTCATGCTTTTAGGGGAATGTTTTGGAGCGAAACTTCGTTATTTCAATATTTCAATATTTATATGTTTTCTTGGTTGCTTATACTGCATCTTGCATTGACTGAGGAAGTGAAAATTATTATAAGCTAGCCACTGAAATGTTCTTTATGCCTGGTCAAGGTATTTAATCCTATCAAACTACGAAATTCTTGGAATAAATTGAGGCTTTCGCAATTATATTTACTTACATTATTTTTAGATGGAAATTCTAGCAATTCGCAATAACAATACATACACTTCCTGAATAGTTTACATATACATACATTGTAATATAAAGATGATTGATGAATTGTTAGTGTTTGACGCAATTTTCAGCACTATTGGCTACTAAAGTATTTTGCGGCGATCAGTTTTTATTGGTTTAGGCCCACGGAGTGCCCAAGGAACCACCGACCTTCGGCAGGAAAACTGGCAATCCCCATCAAAAATACATTAGTTATAGCTATTAGTATCATGGATGAAATTACTGTGTAGGTGTCACAACAAAAATCTACCAATCAGTATCAATTATCTTTTGTAAAAGTAGACAACCTCTTACAAAACAAAGCAGTTTTGATATTGATGTTTACTTCAGCTAAATGTTACAAGCAGTAAAGTTGCTTAATAGAAACAGAAATGCGAATGCATTTAAACCACTTTTATTTAAAATCTAATTGGCCATGCTTTTGCATTAAAATTTCAATGTAGATGTGCCAAATAATATTTTTAGGCATTTAGAAAAAGGAGCACAATTTTAAGCATTGGTTGGACATTGGCATATTAACCTAAAGATAGTACATGGACAATAAGAATAAATATGGTTAAAATGAAGTTCTTTTATTCTAAAATATCTATACAATTGTGAGAAATGAAAATTGTGGTTGAAATTATCCAGTGGCAGTCGGTCGGTCCTATGTATGTTGCATTGTTGGTTTTTTATTTTTGGTTGCACCTCAGTGTTTCTGTTGTTTCGTTGTTTTCCTCTTAATGTTGATGCATTACCCTCGGTTTTAGTTTGTAACCCAAATTTGTTTTCTCCCAATCGATTTACGACTTTTGAACAGCGGTATACTGCTGTTGCCTTTATTTATCCAGTTTTTTAATGTCATCTAATCTTAAGTTTTGTTTGTAGATATTTATTGTGCACTGAGCCCTCTGTTATTGATCGACAGCGACTTTTGGTGATTTTCTCACTTTATTTTCATATTTTTTCCGTTCGGGTTTCTAATGGTGCGAAGATCTCACAATAAAAATAAGTGATATATAAGTTCAGGAAAAAACCGTACAAAATGTTATGTATAAGTGTTAAAAACATGGGTTAAAACAATCGGACTAAAATTCAGATCTATCACGACTCGCCTGCTCATTTATCATATGAGAATAACGAAATCAGAGATCTACATTTTAATAAGATTGGGGTTAATATTATGAGATAGCTTGAAAGCAGGTATGCTCTGGTAAATTTTAAGAGATTACTATTTTTAACTCTTTTTGAATATGTCTATTATGAAACAAATTCCTTCACGTATAACCTCCATATGTGCACTTTGAACTTCCTTAATTCTACCAAGCAATGTCGGAGGAATATTGCTCATTACAATTTGTTTAGACTAACTGGAGTCGATTTCACAAAAGCACTTACGACTAAGATTGGTCGTTACGGTAAGTCATGAACAATTCAGTATACTTACGATCAATCTTAGTCGTAAGTTTTTTTGTGAAACTGACTCCAGATGGATATGTGAATTGAAAGAAAAAAAAAAAAAAAGAGAGAGAGAGAGAGAGAGAGAGAGAGAGAGAGAGAGAATAAAATAACAAGGAGACAGTCTCAAACCATAGTCGAAGAAAAACAGATGACATCATGACCAAGGCAAAAAAGTAGGACAGACAAACAAAACTTCTTAAAACACTATACCGAAATGTGCGAACACTACATAAACCAGTATGGTGATTACAGTTGCTCACTGGAAGGGTATTCAATCTTAATTAATCTGAATTATTAAATTTCAGTCATTTTTAATAAAACAACTAATAAAGTATATAATAATGGTATAACATTAAAAGGAATTCGCTGGATTTGATATTGAAAAGCACATGGTACAAACAGTTTTCATTCGAACATTGAACGAGAATAAACTTCGTAACATGCCTTTCCACATCGGAAAACTAGTATTTACCAAATAAACCTTTTTTGTTCCTTAAAATTCTTCCAATACCTTTTTTTTTTAATATGGTTGATCATTATCTGCCGATATTGGCAATATTATCTAGCCAATAAAAGCAAAATGATCCCCATTTGCAGATGGTGTTTTTTAGGGCAACTACAAAAGCTTCATTAGAAGGCTGCATCTTGACCTATATCATATAAGTTGTAGTTTAAAATGATAAAAAAAAATTCCTCGGCCTATAAACGATAAATCTATTCTATTTTTGACATACAAATGTTCAAAATTGCACCGTACGAATTATTGACGACCGGGCAAAACAGAAAGTACAGGTAATAAGCTTTCGAATGATATATAATATAGCCGTATGTTAGGTGGGTGCATTAAAGTCGTTAACTATGCGTCTTTTTGAAAAATGTCACTCGCCTATCAACACCAAATAATTATCATGGAATTTAACAAATACAATAGTTTTATTCAGTTTGGATATTGGTGCCTGTTAAAACGTTTAAACCCGCTGCATTTGTTTGCCCCTGTCCTAAATCAGGAACCTGTTGTTCAGGGTTGTCGTTTGTTGATGTGGTTCATAAGTGTTTCTCATTTCTCGTTTTTTATATAGATTAGACCGTTGGTTTTCCTGTTTGAATTGTTTTATACTAGTCATTTTGGGACCCTTTATAGCTTGCTGTTCGGTGTGAGCCAAGGCTCCGTGTTGAAAGCCGTACTTTGACCTATAATTGTTAACACATTGTGACTTGGATAGAGAGTTGGCTCATTGGCACTCATACAACATCTTCTTATTTCTATATACACGTTCTAAATTAATAATTCATTAAAAAAATTACAAGGATTTCATTATAGAGAGAAATATCGTAGCTACTGGAGATATCATGTCCTACGGGAATTTATACGGTGTAGTACTGAAATCATTGTCATTCTTCAATATCTAGACAATATATAAACACAATGAAACAATGTGAAACTGATAACAGGATATTGAGACTT